GCAGGCACGTTTGGGCTGGGAAGGGGAGCCCAAGGAGCACACACCAACGCCCAGCCGGCGGTCGGAGCACCACCCCAGGCTGTCAGTGGGTCCTGGCTTGTCCCTCCACCCTAGTCTGGAGGGGCACACGCTTGGTTAGAGACAAATGAAACCTTTTTGGTGCTTCCCACTGCACACCGCGTGTGGAGGCTACAGTGTCACCCAGCAAATCGAAACGCGCTGTCGAGAAGCACCTGTATTTCTTAGAAAGCGGGTTAAGCTCAAATGAAACTCAACAAGCGCGACAGCTTCTGCAAATCCTCGGCTGCGGCAACCTGCACGCCCACCTCTGGCCCAGGCTGCCATCAGGGAGCCTCAGATCCAGCCAGCACGACACAAAGCACCTCACCGCCTCTCCTCCTCGGGGGATTCAGGGCTCCTAAAGGACCCGATTCTGGATTATTTTCAATATGAACACTTGCCTTTTAAGGAAAAGTCTAAAACAAACCTAGGGCTTCAAACGGCTTTGAGGGGTTTCTCTTCTGCTGCATTCTTACTGGCTTAAATACGTCAAGTGTTCATACATTAGTATAAATTCATTTCAGCAGAGGTATGGGTTAAAAATCACTATTCTTTATCATAGAATGGTTTAGGTTGGAAAGGACCTTGACGATCATTGAGTTCCGACCCCCTTGCCATGGGCAGGGACACCTCCCACCAGCCCAGGTTGCCCAAGGCCACATCCAGCCTGGCCTTGAACACCTCCAGGGATGGGGCCTCAACAACCTCTCTGGGCAACCTGTGCCAGTGCCTCACCACCCTCTGAGTGAAAAATTTCTTCCTAATGTTTAATCTAAACCTGCCCTCTTCCAGTTTAAAGCCATTCCCCTTCATCCTATCGCTACAAGCCCTAGTAAAAAGTCCTTCCCCAGCTCTCCTGGAGCCCCTTTAGGGACTGGAAGATCTCTCCGGAGCCTCCCCTACAAAAAGGTACGAATTAACAAAGACCTACATTAATAACAAAGGTGTTAATCATAATCGTTATGGCCCATGCAGCATGAAGTCTCACCACGCTAAGTGGCGTACAACCTGCCAAATAATTTACAGCTTAAATAGCTTCCTTCTATCTTACAAAACTTGTCACTGAGCACAGATTATTTTATAATAGTCTTTCAAGCCCTCTCAGTGTTTGGCACATCTGAAACTTTTTCTTTGTTGATGTGGATTTCTGTCATACACGATTGTTTTCATTTTAGAGAGCTGAATATTCAAATTATACAAAGGCACTTCTCTTCCTTGATGATTACGCTTTGTTTCTCATCATGGAACTGAGACCCTGACAAGTTTTAAACTCCATCTCCTGTTTCTTACGTGTCGTAACCGGGTTCCCATCCTGAGCTTATGAGGAGGGCCAGAGAACGTCAGTAAACTCTGAAGGCAATAATATTATTATTCTGTTCTGGAATGAGCTACAAACACTGCCAAAACCCCTCTGAAACCCACCAGAGGAGTCTCCCCCCTATATTTAACTGTTCTGAGAGAATGCAGCTAACGTAAGCGGCCTTGGCAAAGCGGAGACGGACCTCCCAGCAGAAGGAGCAGTTTGTCAGGAATAAGTCCTTTAACATCAAGATCAAAGCAGCTTTTGTCTTATTTTTCCTTAGGTTGGTGTCATGTTATTTTAAACTTAAATGAAAATACGAGAAACTACATCAGTGTAAACAAGTTTTTCAGAGTTTATAGCCATCTTTTCTCTAGTGCAGCTGAACAGACCGCTTTTGGGGCCATTAACATGAAGGAATAGTGACATCAGGTGGCCTATCCCATTAATCACAGGCACAGCTCAGCAAACTTCTCTCCTCTGCTGAAACTGAATCTCATCGGCTGGCTGCGCTTTTTTTTAAAAAAAAATACTTTAAAAAGTATTATTTCTTTTTAGTCCTATTACTAGTTTACTACACGTTGCAAACACAATTCAAATTTAACCATCACTTAACTACTTCAGACAACCCTTTTACATCTGCGTTACTACTCATAAATTACTATGCGTACTGCTACTGCTTGTTACTCGCGATCACACCCCCTCGCTGCCAAATCTGGTACGCACACGCCTGCGTATATTCCCCTCTCAAAAGCAACCCCCCCTCCTCCCCCAGCAAACTAATGGGATGTTACGCTTCAACTCTCCCGATTCAAAATCCATCCAAAACCAGCTGCAAATTAATCATTAAGCAGTTACGACTTAAAATCCGGAAGCAACTTCTGTATGTATGAAAGGAGAGGAGCTTTTAGCTGTGCTTCCATCCACAGATTTTCAGAAAGAGACGCAGGATAAGTGACAGCCTTTCATCTATCGTGAATTAAGTACCTTTTGTCAAATTGCTTATCCAGTGTCAGGGAGAAGACCTTGGCAAACATTTCATTTGCTGGTACACCAGCTAAGCCTCTTTTAGCTCCCAACTCTTTAAATGTTAAAGGGACACTGTAAACTCAAGAACCTAAAATTAGAACTAACTTTGGTTTCAAGTACCCGCAGCTCACCCGCTCATCGGAGAGCTGTTACCACGCGTTACCGGCTAGCAAACAAATGCACAAAAAGCCAAGCTATATACTTAGATTTATGACTTGTTTGCCTACCATCCCTAGCACGAGATCTTCCCATACAAGACTCTTGCTGAAAGATGCTTGAAACGCAATACGGACTGGCAACAGACCGCGGAGGGGAAAGGAAGAAGAGGAACATCTCCAGTAACAAAGAGGATGACAGACATGACAGCAATACACCTGAAATTCCTGAGACACGCTATGAAGGAAAACATTACCGAGGAAGGAAAAGGATCGATCAAAACAGCAGTTTTAAACAAGCTCTCGTCACTTCACCTGCCAACACCAGGAAGTTTATTACCAAACTATGTAAGATAAAGGCTGGATCATTTTTACCTCTGTCAGAAAAACCACAACCCAAAACACATCTCATGCAGACACGGAACACGTTCAATTGGCTACAGGTTACAAATTAAAGTTCTTCAATTCCCACAGATTTGGCCCAATGGTCACTAGAAATGAGTTTATCTACATGTCCCCAGCGTTACTGGCAGCTGTAGCTACTGTAATGTATGTGTAATAAAATGTTTTTATTGTGGTGATAATTCAGGTTAGCTATGCAGCTGCATCCTCATGAATATTTTTTAAGCATGGGTTCATGCCTTCCCTATACTGAACTAAATTACTGTCATGAGATAAATTTTATCTTTAGTTCTCAGCAGCTTTATGGATTTTTCTTAACTGCTCTTCTACACAGTAAAAAAAAAAAACAACGACAAAGCTCCCGAGAGTGGAAGCGGAAGAGCTTCGCGTGACACAAATACACAGCGAAAGGCTGCACTTGGGGATGGCTCAGAGCTTTGCTACATCAAAACCGCTTCCCCAAATTTCTGTTTTTCCCCCTTTACAAATGGATGATTACAAGACTGTGAGACAGAATTTTAAAAAAAAAAAAGCACGAGTAAGTGGTAACTCAACCTAGCTCCACCCTTCGCAATTAAAACTACCTTCGGCAGCAGGGCTGGGCTCGGGCAGCGAGCCTGAAACCCAGCAGGTTCACACCTCTTCAGAGACGCTTACTCAAATTTAAACTAAAGTACAAGGCAAAAATGTCTCTCACCTGGCAGTGGGATGAATAATCCTAACTCCTTGATAACTTCTTAACTTTTCTTTGAGGCCTTGAAAAGCTGGGAGGCACAGTGAAAGAGAGGAAGGCGCTCCCCATACCACCTCAGCTGATACTACAGAGAAAAAAATGGATTTTCAGCCCTGTGTACTTCTCTTACGAGCACACAAGCGGTGACGAACTATGTGTTCTCATTTGAGCTCTAAAGATCCTTGATAGAGAAATCATTAATATCCTGTCAGATGAATCCTACGCATCTCTTTTTTCCAACTTGACATTTTTAGTATTTCCCCCCTTTACATATGCCATTTATTTTGAACATTTTTTTCCCTGAAGTTAAAAAAAATGCAGTGGCAAAACCACTCTTGCTATGCTGTGCTTCCGTAATTATATGGAGTTAAAACAAATGTACATGCACATAAACTCTTAGCAAAATTTCTCTTGAACCACCTTTGTGCAGTAAAGTGACTCAAAACCAGATGAATACAACTATGCAATGTCCCCCCTACACCACTTCTGTCCTCTCTGGGCTTGCAGTAGAGAGAAATCTGATTTTAAAGTTAACTAAATAACGATGAACCAAAAATACCTGTATAGTTTTTTAATAGTTCATAGCTGGTGTATTAATTACACATTATGCATATTGCTTTTAATGTGCCGCTACAGGCATGGAATATAGTACAATGCAATATTCATTATACTTAACAGATGTTTCCCGTCTTTCTGATCAAGGGCTGCATCTTCAATCAATTTACAGGGAAGGTTTTTTGTGTACGCAACGTATATTTGGACTTCCCTTCCCAAAAGAATGGAAGATACGTTCCTGAGCTTCCCCAAAATATTGTTATAAGGAATAATCAAGCAATATCAGAAAAGGCTTCAAACCATTGTACCAAATCAGGAAAAATCCCTTCCATGTGAAGAAATAAAAGCACTAACAGTAGGTAGGTACTCTACCTACAAATTTAGGAAATTAGAATAAAACCTCTGCCTCTGGACAGCCTTCCTGATCAGCTGTCTTGAGCGCAAGAGAATGACTGCTCCCCATGTATAACCCCCAAGTTTGCCACCTGGGGGCTTTCGAGCGCAGACGTTGCAAGGACAGAAAGCACCTGGGGATGGGAGGAACTCATGGAACTTAAATTGCAATGCTTGCACCAGAAATTTAACTTTAATTGCTGATTCTCTAGATTATATAAAAAATCTGAATTCAGGACCATTATTCAGGGGTACAGTGGTAGTTATCATGTTACTTTTCATGTTCATGTGATCAGTTTGTAATGTTTACTTATGTTTTGGGTACTTTTTCCTCACCAAGGGAATATTTATTGCACTGACTAATGCACTGTTCTTATTCTGTCATCATATTTGCTCCCTCCCCACCAGTGGCATCCTGGGAAATATGGAGATCCTCCAGCATTTCAGCCAGACTGATTCGTGGAGGACCGTCATCATCTGTGTCGCTCTCCACTGGAACATCTGCATCTAAAAACACAATGGAAAAAACCAACAATAGCTAAGCAAAGAAAACAAACCCCAAACCCCTGAACAACCCCACAGAAGGAAGGGGAAAAAAACCCAAACCCCCAACAGAAATAAATTCCTCCTAAAAACCAACGATCCCATGGCAATTACCCTCATGGAAGACCCTGAATAGCAAATCCTTCACCCAGCGAGGTTTCGGGTGCGGGAGAAAATACGCTTCTCTCTCTTACGTTAAAGGCAAGCAAACAAAAACCATCGACATCCATTCAGTGCAGGTGAAATACATCAAACTCCTGAAGCTATTACGTTACAGCATTTCTCTAGGCATGAGTAGTTCAAAGAAACCAGATACAGAACCTCAATAAAAATATTTGCACTCAAATAGTCATGATTTAATTACATGCAATTGAATGGTTAAAAGGGTCTTACTTCTGTAAATGTTGACATTCTTCCTTATGGCTTCATCTTCTTCCAGATCTTCAAGGAAGTCCTGGTATTGTCTGTAAAAGATGTTTGATGTATTTACTCACTTTTCCTTTGGATTTATGCAAATTTATAACTCAAAATAAAATCAAAGAAATCAAGCCCCCAGGAAGGACTGCAATCCGCAGTGCTTCTGACACGCCTTCTGATAGCATTCCTGCACGTCCAACCTCATTCCTTCTGCTTTTTTTTTTTATTATCACCTATTAGTTTCCAAATAATTTAATTTGCCTGTTCTTATTTAACTCTCATTGCCTCATTTTTCCTACTCAACTGAATGTTATTTAGAATCTGCTGTCGCTGTATCAGCTTTGCCACTGAACAAACCAGTGACACGCGTGTATTCACAGAAGCGTCCCTTTAGCTAGACACCAGCTGGAAGCTACAGACACAATGCTTCCGATATTACTCACTCCTCTCATGATTTAGGCTTTTCTTGGAACAAAACATAAAAATACAGCACGCTCAAACAGAACCGGCAGCATTTGGTTGTGGCCCCTTAAGAGTCAGTGCATCAGCTTAGGCATTACGCTGCCTTTATCCTCAGCAGAAACAGAGAAACATTCTTTTTAGACTTAGCACGGTATCCTGGGTAGGAGGGACTGAAAAGCTTCATGGCAGATACTGAACCTTTCATCATCTGTGTCCGTGCCTTCTCTGTCCCTGTCTAGCTCCTTCAGCTTCCAGTTCCTGCGGTGCTGGCGTTTGGTACGGTCATAGCTCTTCTTTATTAATACCTACAGTGAAAACCAGCAAGTATTTGCATATACACACCTTCAATGCTACTGAGGACACTCTTTCAACATCCAAAACAACACCCAAGTCTGGACTTGGGCAACTGTAAAATCAGCTGAACAAACGGTAGACTCGGGCTGGCACTCAGAAGTTTTATGTAGAATTTATACAGCATTCGTCAATTCAGACGTTTCCAAACCCTTTGTATTATGACCTGAAGAGGCATACACACACTGGAGTCGTAAATACAGCTTTCACCACACACTGCACAGTCATTTGAACAAAACCAACAAAGAGTAAGGTAAGGTAAAGTCCATGCATTATTTAACCACCACTCAAAAACATAAGTAGCGAGAAAATAATTCTCAAAATTAGAAGCTATTGAGATTTCAATATTAATATCCCCTTTTCCTTTAGGCACTACAGAACTAATGAGTATTCATTATAAAATCATATTCCCTAATACCCCTGGGTAACGCAGAGAACTTTGTACAGAGAAAGAAAACGGTCTTACCACATCAGGAATATTGTGTGGGTTCATCTTATTGGCAAACTCGTCATTTAAGTTGCAGTTCGCCAAGTCGAATCTAAAATGAAAATAGGTATTTTATCCTACCCTTTTACGTAAGCCTACAAAATTGAACTCAACGTATCGTATGTTTGTATTAAAGAGCAGCACAGTGTAAGTTACAGCTCCCAAGAAAGAGAAATGGTTCCAAATGAAGTACAGAGCAAATAAAAGAATCCACATCAACACTCAGCTGTCACAACTATGAATAACTGGAAGCTGCTGTTCCTAGATTCTGTTCGGTAGCGCTCCCCAGCCTCCTGAACCCAAACTGCAATATCCACGGAGCTTCTGTTGGGCGCACAACAGCTCCAGTAACATTCATGTTTAGGCCCGTTTGAGAATCACCTAATTTGCCTAATCTTACAAAAATTTCACATTTATCATTGCTGTATATGATAGTCACTATCGAACAAAAAGGTCTTGCCCAGTATTTTAAAAATCCTTCCCGTCTATTTGTGTCTAAACTGTTATTCCAATCTGCACTTTAAAGTCAATACTTTAGCTCTCTTATGCTGGAAAAAAAGATTTCCGGTATTAGGACCATCTCTTCATGGCGAAAAATGAAAGACTCTATCCCTTTTACTAATTTCATGTAGAAATCAGAACAGTTCAAAACTTTCTTGAAAATACATAAGCCCGTACAGAATCCAGAGAATTCAGTCATTAAATAACCATTTAATAAAACCCAAGAAACAGAACAGACCCCAAGACAAGGTCGCCAGGATTCAGAATGTGCCCCAAGTGAGTACAGCAGAAATACTGATGATCTGTATTCAGCTCCGAGGTCTTCTGTACCCAGGCTTCAGCCAGCGTGTGCTTGAGGAATGAAAAATAAAACACTCCTGTAATCAAACGCATCTTAACTTGCTGTGCTATTAGAACATTTGTACTGCTATGTTACTGCTTTAAATTACAGTTGTAATTAAACTTGTATTTCTACATCAAGCATCCAATGTATGGCTTGCTACTCATTTCTCATCTTTACAAAAGTACGGAAACGGACATGCCAACCACTTTTCACAAAAATTCCACGAAGGCTGTTTCTACAGCTAGATGGGGTTTTTAGTATTTTTTCTTTTTTTTTTTTTTTTTTCTTTATAACTTTCAACCACATACAGCTTTTAACTGAAAAGAAAGTGTTTGGTACTGATTCATTAATTCTGATTAAAAAGAAATGCTTCTATACTTCAACAAAACCAGTTTAATACGTAAAGAGTTGCAAAGCCGATATAAAATAATTTCAGTAACGATAGTAAGTAACAAGTAGAGTTTAACTCTTCAACAGAAAAGAATTTCTGAAGTGGAATTCATGTAACTCCTGGGCAATTTCCAAACCAAAACACTGTCCACATCTTCCTGAGAAGAGCTTTTCCCAGTGCCAAGACACAGAAAAGCATCCACCTGACTTTGCAAGGTAGAATGATCCAAAACAGAAATTCAGCTGAGTAGGGGAGGGAGGGGAGAGGACAGCCCAAAGCACTGAATCAACAGAGAGAACTCTTACCTTGTTTGATCTTGCCCCGGCACCTGCACCTTTTTTCTTTTCTTGAACCCTATTGATATCCATAATGATAAATTCTTCTAGTTGCTTGGGGTGGAACAGGCTATTGAAAGGGTGGCGCCAATAGGTATTTCCATCAATTTCAGCAACTGGAAAAGAAAAACCACCAGCATGGGCAATCACAAGGGAGAGAATTTCTTGCCAAGAAATTAAAAGGAAAAGGAAGCATTGGCCAAATTTAAGCCAACTGCCAAACGCATTTTGTTCAAATTTGTTATTGTAACACAAGTATTTAGGACATGACTCATACTGCAAACTCGTGCTACAAGAGCAGTTGATCTGTGACAGCCAAATCACGTATCACGTGTGTAAAGCACAGACCTTTTTATTCACAAGAATCATTCTCCTGGGTGTATCCTTATTAGAGGTATTACGCTTGTAGAGCTTACCAGCAAATACCAATCAAAGCACAGTGCTTCTGGTACCAAAGTGGCTAGAATCATAATCCACAGAAAAAATGGATGCCATAATTTTAGAGGAATATACATGACAAATGTAAGTGCTTAGCAGAGACGTAGAACATCCATGAACACTACTGAGTTTTGCCTGGGATACTACGGAAATCAAGCTTAGAAAACCACGTCTTAGTTCGCAATTAAAATTTCTACATTAGTGATTGTACAGATAAATTTACAACATTAAGGTCTAAAAACACAAGACTTCATGAAAACAAGAAGAAATTAAAATAATTGTGCCAGCAGAAAAATCACATGCTGCCGCAGCGCAGAAAACAACCCCTAACTTACTCTGCAGAGTGGTAGGATCAATGAGGTGGATGGTACTTGTTACTCGAATGCACACACAGATCTGACTCATGTTACCAAGACTCTGCGCCAGTTTTGGTGACAGACACACGACATTGTCCTGCGTGCAAACAGAAAAAAAGTTTACACTCATAATTCCTTAATTTTCAACCAAGACTTTAGAGAAACTTGAAACAGACTTTTAAACTGTGCATTTTCAGTTATCCACCCAGTAACTTCCTCAAGATAGCTGCTTTCTGCGCTCTCCATGCTTCGTGGGGAGTAGACCCCACCCCATGCCCCCAAATACCCAATAAATCAGGCCTCCATCACCAAAACCAAACTCTACCCGCTTCATACAATAACACCCTGAAGATGAGATAGAGAGAAGCTACCTTGCATATTGGAACAATTTCCACAGAGAAAGTGCTTTTGTAATTGTAGACATTACTATGAATATCATGTGAGATCAAACGTTGAGATGATTTTGATCTATAAAACATAAAAATAGAAGCTTCAGCCAGCAAGAAGGACATCACTTGAAACAGGAGAGATCAGCAATGAAAGTGTGTAACTATGTACTACAAATCTAAAAATTAAGGAACTGGAAAAATGCAGGAGGGTTAGTTTTACAATGGCTAAGTGGAAGACACGGGGCTTCTACAGAAGGGATTTTGTATGTTTTAACTAGAATACAGCTTCCTTACGCCTTCACTTACAAAATTCTTGAAAAGTGAAGGAGAAAAGACACTTCCCAAAAGCTTTTGGGTATTTGAGGCAATAAACATAAATTATATACCTAGATGGAACCGTACACTGAAGAAAGTCAACCATCTTCTGGGCCTGTTGCTTTGAAGAATAATAAAAATCCAGGCCATCTTAAAGAAAAGAAAGCTTGATGAACATCTCTTTCAAATACTATGTTTTTTTTTTTCCAAATACAATACATAGGCTAAGTAACCTGCTGCTTATCCATACATAGCTACTACCACAAGCGCTCTTACAACAGAAAACAGGTTAGTCTATTCTACCTCCAGACTAACAAGCCACCTCGCTTACCGTGGATTTCTTTGATGCGAAGTGTATTTTGATGAAGCCTGTGTTTTAAAATCAGCTGCTCCAAATAGTAGAAAGTCTTCTTGTGCAGAGTCTAAAACCAAACAAAGATAAAATTATCAGGGTTATTTAAGAACCGTCTCCTGCAAATGCAGTATCTCTGAAGAATAAACATTTATACAAAGAGATCATCTAAAGAAGGAACAGTCCAAAGTCTCTTCCAAGTAACCAAAAATATTTCAGCTTCTGTTTCTCATTTTTGTGTAACTGATTGCCAGACACACTATTTTCTTTAAAGGAGATGTAAATATTTATGAAAAATCTCTCCCACTGTTTCTAAGACTACCTTAAAATACAGAAGGATACTCAGTAATTCTTACAAGATTTTTCTACCAGTCACCATTTAAAAAGATTATGCTAATAATACTGGACAGCAGAGAGGAAGTTTTTCTAAATTAAGATTAGTATGAAAAAACCCCCAACCTTGAACACAAAACGTATCATTATTGCAGCGTGCAAGTGAAAAATCAGAAAATCATCCAGATATTTGTCTGCCTGATTGTTCTGCCATGAACAAACGAAAATTCAGTTTGTCTCTACCTTTTGTCTGACTTGCACTACAGCTTTCCAGAAATCCTTAGCTTCGATCCTGTGACAGTCTTCACACATTTGAGACTGAACTATGTATTCCACCACAAATACTTGCTGAAGAACTGCTCCATTTATCACCTGCAAAACAAAAGTTCAAGTTTCAAGATAAGCCAGTAAACACAGGCTGGACTTTACCAAAGAGAACTACTGATCTAAAATGCAACAATAATCAAAAAAATAAAAATCATACCGATTGCCATAAAAGCTTTTTAAAAGCCATACGCAGAATACTGTACTCCAGTTACCTCTTTCTGAACAGTCAGTTTCAGCTTCAGCCTCTTCGAATGCGGTTCAGTCCAAATAAAGCCTGCATCAATCAGCCGGACCTGCCAGTGGGAAAGAAAAAGAACTCAGCCACTACTACCAGCAGTTATACCAGCACACGTTAAAAACACAAAACACAGGCTTATGGTATAGTTCATAGTTCCTCAACCAAGTGAGGAAGTGAATAACCTTAATTAAAAACATATGTATCAGTATACCAAACCCAATTAATGATGCTTAGTTAGAACACACAGTCCCATCTACCTAAACTAATGGTGATGCAACCTCAGACTGTCACACCAATACACTATTCAACAGTATCTCTGGATGCCATGTAACGATTAATTTTGATAGTATAATGGTTTCCTCAAGACTTAAAAGCCAATTTAATCTCCAAAACTAAGAACATCCAAATTTACTGCAGCAAAAGATATTTTGTATAATTAAGTACTAACCCAACAGCAAGAAGCAAAATGAGGCAACCTAATTCAAACCTGTGGTAACAACTTTTTTTGCGTAAAAAACTATCACAGATTTTTTCCTCTGGTAAGATTCTGAATCTAAGAGATACTTTATTCAACTTAAACACGTGATTTCCAGTTAAATCTACATATAGACCTCTGCAATCCTCTTTTGTATTGTCATAAACCAGTAAGAACAAGTACTATATAAACAATTTTAAAAAAGCAAGCGAAAATTAAGGCGCGTTAAAAACATGCTAACTGCCTTCAGTTAATTATGCTCAGCTCCCACCTATACAGTAAGTTGTGCAGTACCCAGTATGCTTTGAAGCCACAGGACTGCACTGCATGAGCCTCCTCAGTACGCTTCGGAATTTTTTGTTAGAGCCTGACCTTACCGAATCCTCCGAAAGTCTAGAATAGAGTTATCTGAGATCAGATCGTCATTCTTTGTTTAATATAAATTAGTTGATAAGCTCTACACAAGTACAAACGCCTGCTCCAAAGAGATCGAACTCTGTACGTTAGCTGAACTTCACTTTATGAAGTACCGATAGACGCGCTATGGAATACCAGCAGAATTAGCTACTCACCTTGCTCAGCGAAGCTTTGATTTTTTTAAGACACAAAGCGAGAAGCTCTCTTGATTCTAAGGAACACTGAATCCAGGTTCCTGGAGGCTGAAGATACCTATGACACAGGAACCATTTTACAGCACATGAAACTGTTTCAGCAAATTAAACCACTCAAAAGTTGAGCAGTTATTTACCAAGCTTTCAGTTTTAATATCAACTACGCAGCTACACCTTTTGCCTCCCAAAGCATTACGATCTTGGGGACAAACTTTTTAGCTGGGCCTGTTGTGACAGGATAAGGGGTAATGGCTTTAAACTAAAAGAGGGAAGATATAGACTAGATATAAGGAAGAAATTTTCTACGCTGAGGGTGGCGAGACACTGGCCCAGGTTGACCAGAGAGGTGGGAGATGCCCCATCCCTGGAAACATTCCAGGTCAGGCTGGACAGGGCTCTGAGCAACCTGGTCTAGTTGAAGATGTCCTTCTCATGGTAGGGGGTTGGACTAGATGGTCTTTAAAGGTCCCTTCCCATCCAAACTATTCTATACTGTGATTCTAAGATTCACGCATCCCAAGTGCATTCATGCTTTTACTGCAACCTGTACCGATTTGATCACTTTTTTTTCCTTCAGAATCAGAGAATGGTTAAAGCTCATCTCGTTCCAACCCCCCTGCCCTGGGCAGGGCCACCTCCCC